CGCGCTATGCTCCTTTATTTATTGTGCATAAATAGTGAATTGTCCTGACACAATATTGCGTTTCGCTTCTGTTATTACTGGTACATTGACAAAAACATATACTTTTATTCACAGGATAAAACAGTTGTTTTGTATCACTAATTGTCCAGTACGATTACAACATACAATATTATTGTCACTGCTACATTTCTGTAATGCTACTGTAACCGGTTTCTGCTTCATCCCGCTGCAACAGTTCGGCCCAAACAGACTCCTCGACTCTGCGTTGTGTAGTGTTTTTAAAAAGACAAGGAGTCTCTGATCGATCGTTGCCACTTTATTTCCTGAATGGAAACAACGGTGTATTATCAGTGCACAGGCTCGCCACACACCACTCCGCACAGCACACTCTCGTATGGCTACGGCAGACTGGCAGCGATTACTGCAGCAATATTACAATTTCTAATATTAAACAATAAAATAACAGCAACAACAAATGATGTACCTGAATGGAAACAACGGCGTATTATCAGTGCACAGGCTCGCCACACACCACTCCGCACAGCACACTACGGCAGAACATCTCATTAGCATTCCGCTTTAGCATACAGTTTCACACATTACTAAACAAATGAAAAGTACATAAAACTGGTGTTGGACATGTGTCCACTAAGCACTTATTACACTCGGTGCTCGTCAGCTAATCAAACATGTTTTATGTGTCTGTACTACTTAGCTATATTGTGTGCGGAACAATACAACTCACCTCTCGTATGGCTACGGCAGACTGGCAGCGATTACTGCAGCCAGCCACACCGAGAGGGGGGGCGCTGTTTCCCCATTACACTGATATTTGTGGCAAGTGGAATAATACCACATAAACACTGTTACACTACCAGAAATTAGTTCCACTACTAATTAATTACCGTTGAGCTCAAAGGTTATATTAATAAACTGTTAATGAATGTGTATTTATGAAGACGATTTGTGAGACTTATGATATGTACGATGGTCTTTACTTTCTACACGGTGCATTTCAAGGTCCTGCACCCATCCGTCGGTAAACTGTACCTGGGCTTGTTGCAGTGACCTGAAGTTACTAAACTTCATGAGTGTATGCACTCACTCCAAGAAGCGTATAATTATAAATCTGAGCGTGGTGAAAGTTGGGCAGCACGCTGATGTCTTTTGTCCACTCTTTCACTCCTTTGATTTTTTGTCTTTTCGTCGAGTCTGTCTTTGTACGGACCGGCATTGTTCTCCTTTTGTTTTGTACATTCCTTTTTTGTGCGGCAAAGAAAAAAAAAGAAGGTATTGGAACCGGAGAATGAACGTTTTGTGGTGCTGCAAATGTTTGCATTTGATGCGGTACTTGGATTGTTTTGCCACGAGTTCCCGGCATGCAATGCGCGAAAATCACGTGATTGCTAAACAAGGGGGAGGGTGCATCCGCCTCCTCGGCTGTAATTGGTCCAGCCCAGAGTCGATCATGACCAATTGGCCAATCCAACACCTTTCATTATATATACCCTTCCTAAAAAAAAAAAATAACCATCGGCCCATAAAAACAAAAAATCGCCAGCGGCCCACCGGGCAAATGCCCGGTATGCCCGATGGCCAGTCCAGCTATTGTAGCCACAGCCACCCTGGGGCGCACTGACAGAGGCGAGGCTACCGGACACTGGTGCCACCGGGCCCTCTGACCACCATCAGTAGGCAACGGGTGAAGTGTCTTGCCCAAGGACACAACGACCGAGACTGTCCAAGCCAGGGCTCGAACCGGCAACCTTCCGATTACAAGGCGAACTCCCAACTCTTGAGCCACAATCGAAAATGTTTCTCAACTCCTAAACGAGATACATGGATACAGACAGAACAAAGTTTTCCACCCACCCCAGTATCCATTATTTACTATTCCGGTGTCCTGGCTAAACTGGGAGCCCTGATGCGAGTACAACGCATGTGAAATTAGAAAATGTGAAGTAGGACATACATTTTGGACTTTTAAGTCTTACAGCTTGTCCTACTGATAAAGACCTCCCCCATGGCCATCCACAATACACCAAAGTAATTAAATTACACATTTCTGTAATTTTATACATTTACTTCATACAGTTTAAAAAAAGAAATTTACTACAGCAGCATTTCTTTATCATGTAGAGAAACTAAGACAAACTGTGGATGTTGCTCTTCTTTGTCTTTGTCCAGCTGACATAAGATCAAAGTGTGCTGCGATAGATTATCAGATCGTGTTGTTAACCTTTTTGATTAAACTGCTGTTAAAATAGTTACCATTCAATATTACACCAACAAACCTGATACTGACTCACAGTTCAGAGCAACTGACCGCTGAGCTCTAACAAGCTGCAAGTATTGAATAACTCACAGCGATATCAGAGATATTAGAAGAAAGAAACATGACACTTGAGCAAGATAGCAAGATCGCGGCAGTCCCAACCCTGGTGCCAAAAGAAAAAAATAACACCTTTACAATAATCGAGCCAGGAAGCCTGTGAGCCCAGTCATGCTGCTGCACTGGCACTGCACAGGTTAGTAGTTTTGATGATGAGCATTACTGCACTGGAGAGGTAGGTGAGAGTAGGTATGTCTGTGTCATTAAGTGAATTTAGCACGGCATTTGTTTGGTGCTCTGGTGAAGTAAGCAAGAGCACTGATCATGTTGGCAACATGAATGGAGTAGCACTCTGCACACGAGCAAACTATAATAGACTGGAAAAAACAAATGCTTTTAGAGGTCCAGCATGAGGGCAGCATGGTGGCATGGGCGTTAGCACTGTTGCCCCACAGCAGGAAAGCCCTGGGTTTAAATCTGCCTATCTGTCTGGAGTTTATATGTTCTACCCATGTTTCTGTGGGTTTTTTCTATAGGTAATCTGGCTTCCACCCACTTAGGGACTTAGATCAATTGGTGAGAGTTTGAGCCCGAGTAGCTGTCTATTGCTCTGTGATAGGCTGGTACTGCGTGTCCCGCCTCTTGCCCAATGGATAAGCAGAAGAGGATAACTGGCTGGGTTTTGGAACAAAGTCAACAAATGTTTGAGCATCTTTTTAATCAGATTTCTCTGATGATTCTGCACCTGCATATTTTATGTCCTGATGACCGTGGATCTCGCTTTAGGGCTTTAAAATAAATGCCCAAATAAGTGCCTGGAGATGTTACCAACATAGCTGAAGAGTGGTGAGACGAGCTTCTACTTCTGTTTAAAACATGTTTTTTTGTGACCCTTAATAAATGAAGCATTACCTACATGAGACTCAAAGCTAAAAGGTAGACAGTGTTTGCAGTTAAGGAGCTCAAACTTATATGCATCCATTTGTCACTTATCTTGCTTGTAGCAAAAACAGAGAACGCCTCCCATTAATTACACATCCCTGATGTATTCATTAACATAATTATAACATGACAGTTCGTACAGGGTTAATTATACAGTGAAGGGGTGGAGCTCAAGAGCCAGGGGCAGAATTAGCCCGTTTTTCTTCAGTTCACAGTGAGGTCAGCAGCCACCGCAGCCCCGAAGCTAAGGGCCAAAAGAAAATACCGTCCTCCATTGCTCGCTGTGCATAGGATCCTTTCATTGTCTTCATGACTCTGAATCGGGACAAAGGAAAACAATTAGAACAGGAGGCTGTGCCTGGCTGTTTTCAGATGGGAAAACCAAAAAAGAGGTGGAAGAGAAACATGGTAGGTTTCTGGACTAGTCCTGCCAGCAGCAACTCTCCCACCCCAACCCCTGCACTGAATCCTTCCATTGTATCCAAACCACAAATCCCACACTTTGCCTGGAAAAGCAGAGAGGAGCCTTGACTGAAATATACATTGGAATTTTTTTAGGAGGGGTGTATGGGAATGCCCAAAACTTTTACAAGGCCTTTATTCAGTTAAACAAATAAAAGTTTAAAACTAAGATACTGTTACTGTGTTTTTGTGCTAAGATATCTATTTCAAACTTCCAACACTGGAGAAGTTTTTAAGTGGTGCGGTGCTTCTTCTTCTTCTTTTTCCTCAGGAGTGTTGCAACTTTGTAATCAACCCCACTTTACTTTTCAGGCTAAAGTTAATTACAGGTTTCAGCAAGCAGCCTGAAGAGGTTCAGGGTCAAAACAAAAATGCCTGACTGCCTGAGCCGAGCGATGTCCCGCTGCTGCTTCTGCTTCTTCGACCGAAACTCGGGAAAGGTTATCGTTTTTTAACACCCTCCTGACGTATACGTTACTTTTTCATCTCACTTCTCCAGCTCTTTGACCTTTTCTCAGATATGAGTTTCCATAAATAATTGTGTTGTCGGAAGTCTCAAACAGGATGCCGTTACGCTATAAACACAAAACTTTCGCCTACCAGAGTCGGTTGGGGCCTGAGTGCCCTGCTGTGGTTTGTTGTGTAATCTCTCAGTTATGCACTTTATTTTCTTACCACTGGCACTGTGACGCCTTTCACTGTTTTCCATTGCTGCTGGTGCTTTCAAAGCGAGAAGATAGCTGAAACTTGGATATGATTTACACAGTCTGAATGCATTTTTAAAGAACATGTTGCGTATGTGTAATGGGACTGTATGTACGCGTGGAGACATAACAAAACAAGCAGTTCAGTATGGTTACAATGACCCGAGGTACATTGATCCACCAGCTTTTTACATCATTTACCATCTCTTTAGCAAATGGAGTTGGTTCACATGTCTCTGCATGATCTACAGCAACTAGAGCCTAGAGTTACTTGAATAAAGGTTTGGTGGATTTTCCATACTACCACAAAGCAACTGTATTTACATTGCTCTGCCAAAGTCTTGAGCCACTGCTCATTTCTTTACATTTTTAAAGGAAAATGGGCAATTTATTAAAACATTTGCCAACATAACTGGAAATACAGTGTATAAGTAACATTTATTCAGGAACAGTTCTCGTGTTTCTTGAAGGACATTCAAAGCTCTTCTTTGGATGTTTCTGCCTTTTGTTCTGTTCTCTGTCAAGATGATCCCACACTGCTTCAATAATCTTGAGGTCCAGCTCTGGGGAGGCCAGTCCATGACTCATAGTGTTCCTCTGTGTGTTTTTCTATCCAGGTTCGCTTTTACTGCATTGGCGGTGCGTTTGGGGTCCCTTCATGATTCCATCAACTTTCAAAAGGTCCCCAATACCACTGGCTGAAATGACAGAGCCTCCACAGTGTTTTTCAGATGGCTGTACGCTCACTGTTGTACCTCTCTCCTGACCTCCTTTGCACATATTGGTGATGAAATGAACCAGTCATTTTAGATTTGTATTCATTTGTATCTATGAGGTCCTGTGTCAAGTTTTTGCTGGATTTTTCCCTGGTTGGACACAACAGTTACTGTTCATCTGCTGTTTTTAGGCCACTTCTTCTTTTGTCCTCCACTTGTCCAGTTTCTGTAAGTTTTTAAGGACACACTGCACACCATGCTAAGATAAGTCAAGTTTTCAAGACATTTATAATCTGGACAAAATATAATATCTGCTGACAAATGAATGGAGTTTTAAACCACTGCAGCTAAAAGATCAGACATACAGTACAAATCACCAATCATTGGAGTGGGTACGTATCTGTCTTGATGCATGCTCAATCATCCAGGTAAGGAAATCCCAAAAGTTGATCTGGATGTAACGCTTTCAGGGGGAGAAACGTTTCGTCACTCATCCAAGTGACTTCTTCAGTCTCAGCTGACTGCAGGTTTCCCCAATCCTATAAACAGTACATTTACAGAATGACTGAAACCAGCCCACTGGCGAACAACGTGCTGTGAGATCAGTTTCTTGATCATTAATATGCAAATTTTCATGACCATTGATCAGCAACACTGATCAAAGATCACTGAATTGATCAGTGGTCCAGAATCAACTTTTTGGGAGTGTGAACTATCTGTTCTGTTCTGGTTAAACACAAACAAAAAAACAGACGAAATATCTGCCACTGTAAAATCTAATTAGTTCCCAGAACTTAAAAAAAGCTATGCAAAATCGTTGCCTCCAAAAAACTATAACTTATATAAGGTTTATCTGGTATGCTTATAAATTTATTAATAGTCCCCTTTTTCTTCTCAGCGCACTTCTCTATTGTGTTTGTGCATACTTACATTATTAGTATGATTACATTGTATGTGTTCAGCTTCCTCCATGAAAATAAGAAACTACAAACCTGGAATGTTTCTCCATTGTTAGCTTGCTGAGTTTTTAGCATCACTTGAAATGTATGCAGGAAGCCGACCTGTGGTTTTGAGGGCAAGACCTTTTGATGAGTTACTTACCATCGCGTGAAGACAGAAGCTGATGTGGAAGTCTCTTAAATGTCAATTGTTTCTAATATTCAACAGGGGGTGGAGGACTACCATGGCTCCGCAGAGAAGTCTGATGGTATTGAAGTCTATGGGATAATGACCTCATGCCAAAGCAGGGTGTGCATTAGGTTGGGCTACCTTGTAGTTAACAGTTCACATCGTCTGAGTGTGGCGTGTCCTCAGTATGAAGGTCAGGTCCACAGCACCTTCATCAGACCTCAATTCAAAACACCAAGATGGAAATGACAATGACTAACAAGCTCAGAGGCTTCAAGACAGAATTTTACTTACCAGTCGATGGTGTTTCAGTGGCTCTGTGCATCTTTTATGTAAAGTCTATTGCACTGAAGGAAGAGGCGTGCTTGTTTGGTTGTTGAGTTCAAACATTAACAACCTTTCTCAGGAATGAGTTACTCACCTTTAATGGATCCTATTAATGACAATGTTATAAACCTGCATGTGCATACAAGTCAAGCAAGGCAGCCAAAGCTCAGGTACAAGCACTCAAGAACATGACGGAAACATTCACTTCATACAAAGACTTTATTGACAATGTGTGTGTGGCATACTTTTCAATGGAATTGCTAAATCATGAGAGTTTCATATTTATGTTTGCGAAACAACGCTGAGAATCTGTAATGTATATATAGAGGCAAAAGTGCATATTCTTGTTCCTTTTTATTTTGTTCATGTACACATTACACTATACATAAATAATTGCATTGTAAAAATGACTCAAATATTTACAAGTATAATATATTTTATATAATATATAAATTTTATATTAAATCTAGGTAGATTACAATTAGGATACTGGATCAGGACGCTTCCTGTGAGTCTATGAGCGTGTGTGCGCGTGCTATCTGTGGTTATTGAGCAGCACCTCCAGCCAGCAGGGGCAGGAAGTGATGAACTGTCTGGAGTAGCAGGGCCCCCATCCTTTTGCAAAACTGATGCGAACACTGTGGGGGTCCCAGGGCCCCTCCTGGCTCTCGGGCTTGACGCTGTGCTCTGCCATCCAGCTGGAGCACTCATAATCGAACACCTTGAGAGAAAAGCCCGGCATCACCCTCTTCACGTTTAGCCCTCGAGCACTGGGCGGGTCCAGAGTGGGCGAGTGAACAAACACCGGGTGCTGGCTGCGATTGTACACCCAAACTCCGTCCGGCTCGCGACTCAGAACGATGCCGAAACCAATTTTACTGCGTATCTGCTGCACACTGCTGCTGCTGCTCCCTCCGTGCCTGTGATGTCCGTGATGACCTAACAAGCTGTGGCTCCCTGGGTCGTCACGCCGGCTATGGTAGGCGTTGGCTTGGAGTTGGCTAAGACAGAGGCCAGTGCCCTGAGGTAGGTCATAGAAGATGCTGAGTGAGGGCTCGTAGGCTGGATAAAGGCGACCCACGCGTGTGCGCTGCTCCCAGTAAGCAACACTACACCAGTGAGAGCGATGTCCGCCAGAGGTCACCGAGCCGATGGAGGTACCAGTGTCTGAAGAGAAAAGGAAAGGAAGTGGATGAGGTAATGGTCGTAGCAGTAAAGTGTATTTAATTTTTCTATCAGTGTGAGATGATATAAAAGACATTTTAGCTGCTAAGCACAAGTAAACAACATCAGAACATCATAAATGGATCTTTATATTGCTATCCCTGACTGTTCTGACTCATCAATAAAAGGAATAATGGGAAGTAGCTATCAGTCGATCTACTTCACTTTTTAAGTTGATGGTCGTCAATTTGTGTGAACCCTGTGTGTTAAAATCTTGTTTAAGTACAACCTTTTCACTCAAAATATATCAGACTAACAAAACTACAGCAGGTTTCACGCGGCCACAGAAAACATGCCTGTTTTGAAAGCAGGAAATCACTTTCTAGGAAGTGGAGAAAGGCTTTATTTTAGCACAGTTTGATGTGTGAAAATGCACCCACAGTTCATTAGATTGGACTTCTTCTGGAAATCTACATTGTAACTCACGATGCAACTTCCCGAGAAATGTTACCACACTTCGGGTCAATGCAGCCCGCAATGGCTGAATGGCGTGAATGGTTACAGCATACGGTTAAAAGGGGCTTACCTAAGTTACCACATCTCAGTACTATAGATCATTTATTTGCTTTGACTGAGCTCTAGAGGAAGGACCGTGATGATAGAGGGGACCATCTCAAATTCCTTGTGCTTCCTTGAATGCTGTTATTTTGTTTCTAGTTTGTCTTTCATGTAAAATTAGCATTCTCTGGATGTCCTAAATGCATCTCTTGGATTGTTTCCTCTTTTGTAACAATATCTAAAAACAATTTAAAAAAAGAACACATGGACATGAGTGTTGACCACGGTCTCCCTCCCCTGATAAATGATAAGCAAAATGTCCCAATCCTCGATGCTGTAAATGATTCACATCATTTTTATACCCATTCAGCTGCATGGATGCATGCTCTTCCCTTTAGTTAATCACCGGTTGCAGTATTTTGAAAAGGGGGTTAAAACTGTTAACTCCACTGACATCTCCTCACCGTCACCCTCTGCAAGCCGCTTTCAGGCCCGGAGTTAAAGAGGAGGTTTTAGAGCGGGGTGTCTGGGGTGGAAAGCATTCAGCTCTCTGTCAACCTAGCGCAAGCCCATGAACCCTTGACCCCCCAGCCCTCATGCTATCAGCTCACATTAACTCCCACACAGAGTGATGCCATTATTTTGCTCCAGAGACTCTATTGACACAGAAGATTTAAAGACCCATGTGCCTGTGGCCCCATTCCTTTCATATTCCAGCGAAAAAACCCTCGACTTCATTTACCAGGGGCCAAAATGGCGGCAGCCTTTCTCCCAATGGCGGGTTGCTTTAAAAGAAGAAAGTGAAACGAGGGCCGAGATCTTTTTTGTGTTTATGCCCCGGCCATTTTCATTTCAGGGGTTTCAGAGAAGAAGGGTTGGTAAATGTAGAAGAGATGTGAGTGGTTGCACACGAGCACAAACACACACAGAAAATGATGAGACAGGGCCTCACACATGCCCACGTACGCACACAAATTGAGCCCTCTGATCCAAACAGTATGACTGTAACACACACACACAAAATTGCACTTCTCATCTGAGGCCCACGTGTGTCATTAGTGAATTCCAGGCTGGCAACTCCTGCGGACTGCAGTTTTTACAGCTCTCCAATAAGAGAGCGGGCTGCACGGCTAGCTAGGATCGCTCTCTTTCTCCCACTCTATCTCTTCGTGGCTCGCTCACGCACACACAAACACACACTTTTACAAGCCATGCTCTTCCCTGTAATAAGGCAACGCAAACATGTCTGGGGAAACACAGGGAGACTTTATGAGCTCACGATCAACTTAATTCCCAAAGAAGACTTAAAACAAACTGGAACTTTTAAGGTTTTCTTTCAAAAGGCACGGCACACTTTAATTTCAATCATATGATGAATGATGGGGCAAATAATATGGTTTTAAAGGCTGGCTTTTTTATGTTTCAGACACCCTCAGTATTCATAGCTGGATAGTATATTGGAAATAGAAACATAAGAGGCAGCAGCTAGAAGACATGAGCACTCATAAGAATTTAGATCTCCTCCTGCTCTCTTTATTTATGGTCTCATGCACGCCTGAAGTGTGCTTGTGCAGACTTTATTAAATTTAAGAATGACTGACCTGCTGTAAAGTTCAAAACACTAGATCAAAATTTCCACCAGCATTTTGACAGCGAGGCATGTTTAATGTTTCTGGCAGAGTCCTCGGTGTCATCACGCTCGGCCTGGCTATCATCCAAGTAAAGGTGTAACCAGCTTGTGTGAGAACGATGAAGGAGGGAGGGAGGAGGAGGAGGGCAACTGACTTCTTCAATGGAATTTTTAAAGAGGGGTTGAAGCTGGAGGTTATCAGCATGTTTATATTCAACTGGAGGAAGTCAAAAAGCTGTGTGTGTCTGTGGGACTTTGTTGGTGTGCATGCATGCCCGCATCTGTACGTGGGCTGGCAGCAATTACAAAGTCCTGCAAGCATTTAAGCCAACCTCTATTTAACAGCCCTGTTTACCAATTAGATAAGTAGCCTTTGTTATTTCATTTCAAAATCGCTGTCTCTTAGTGCCAATCTCACCGAGACGCCCACTGAACTTTAGGGGTTGAACAAAGGTGGGAATATACACGACAACAAGCTGCAACTTTACTGCACAAACAAAGTAAAAGGCAGTGGCAATCAAAGTTCAGAGGTCAGACAGTCAGTTTCCTGCCGGATGCTCACAGATTGTTAAACCTGGACTTCAAACGAGGATGCCAGCACTCATCTTTTATCTCACATTTCCGCATCTCTCTGTTTTCCCTCCTGTAACAATGTTGGGAATATGATGTGACGCTCCCTCAGCAGACAAAATGATGCATAAAAGCTTAACTGGTTATGAACATATTTTGGGTCTTGCATATGTGAAGCAAACACGCTAATAAGCTGGCTGTTTACATGTCTATAGCTGTAAAGCTACTTTAACTTCCTCCAAACTTCCTGCTTTGTTTTCTCTTACTCCAGTCTGAACAGTGGAGGCTTCCTCCTCCAAACTGTAACCTGGAGAGAAGAGAGGAATAAAGCTGTGCAGGAAAAGACGGGAAGCAGAGGAGTAAAAAAGAGAGAGACAGAGGAAAAGGGAGACTGGGTAGACTGAAAGAGGGAGCGGGGGAACGAGAGGGAGCGAGAACCTGCCAAGCATAACCAGCATCCAAGGAAAAAATGAAGAGAGAGAAAGAGACTGTGAGAAAGAGAGGGAGGGAGGGAGACCCTCGTCTTTCATCCAGTGCCAAGGATTAGATTCCCCTCCAGTTATTAGACTCTTCCACTGTGCTGAAAGAAGTGGGTGGGTTGGGAAGGGGGCGGGCAGGGATGAGGAGGGAGTGTGAAGGGGACAGAGGGACGAGAAGGGAGGATAGAATTTATCTACTGACCATCGTCGGTCGCCTTTAAAATGCTTTGTTTTGATTCAACTTAATGCCAAAGATCCTAAAAGAGTAGAAATAAAATCAAATAAGGTGGGGAAAAACAGAGAAAAAGTGAGAGGGAGAAAGAGAGAGAGACACCCCTCCCTGCCTACAAATGGTAGATTCTATGTTGTTTGAGACAACTATCATTACAGGGAAAAAACTTCAATCCAGCAAGCCACATTTAAGCTGGCGTCTCGACTATCTCTACCATCAGCGGGCTGCCTTATCGCCAGACGTGGCCTTTACAGTCGAACACAGTGGGGCTCTTGCTCACACACGCGCACAAACACGCATTCCTGCACACACACACTCATTCCTTCTCCCTCTTTTTTTTTTCCATTGTGAAGTGGATCTCTGTGATGGAGCGGTGTGTGACTGGAGATGTCTTGTGTTTAACGGCACAAGAGACACAAACCTGGCCTCGCCAGCTGGAGACGTCCTTTGGACCGACCCGACTGAGCTGAAGTAAAGTTACAGTGTGTCCCTGTAAAATTCCTTGGGAGAAGTGCTCGGAGGCGGTTTAGAAAGGAAGAGCGAAAGTAACGAGCTTCCTGCATTTCTGCTGCTACTTCAAAGTGCCAAACAACTCGAGCCAAGGAATGTCTCAGGTTTTGCATACAACTCGCATCCTGGACAACTCCACTGTCGCGTTTATGCCATCACCTTGGCCATAAAAAAAAAAATTGTGAAAGTAAATGCTTGCACTGCATTTGGCTTGCACACAGTTGGCTTTGCAAGATGATCTCATCTGTGGTCAGTTTTTACCTTTTTATTCTCATTGTGCTTCTCCTATACATGCAACTGTGCGTGCACCTACAGAGCCACCAGAGATACATACGCAGGTATCATCACCACTAAAGATTTAGAGTCTTAAATCTGGCTTGCTTAAGACAATGCATAGTTTAAAGTGCACAAATGACTCAAAGAAAGATGATTAACGTCTGAACGGAGGCACGAAAAGCAGACGCAGGGCTGCTTCAGAGCTCGGTAGTTGACAACTCTCCCCTCCCAACACATTCCTGGACAGGCCCTCTTCCTCAACACTTCCTCCCCCCCACCCACCCTCCCCTCAGCCAGTCACAGGGGTCAAGTTGACAAGTCTCTCATTGAGCCTCACGTGGTCCGACTATATGGCCTTCACTCCTCACAACATAATTACACGCGTTTATTGGTGGAATAGATCCATTTGTTCCACTATGAAGAATTAGTTATGGAATTCCACTAAAATGTAATTTGGGAGAATTATCAGAATGTGAAACTCCAGCTCAGACGTGCACGCGGGAGTGTGGACCGAAAGCGAGGTGACACGAGGGCCTGCAGTCGTTTAGCGGAGGGCGACGCGTGCAAGAGCACATTTACTATTTCTCGTCATTCGGTCATCAAAATCAAATGATGACAAATGCTGTCAAAAGTGATTTCCAAAGCGGGGTGAACAGGCGGCTACAAGTCCTGAAAATACCTACAAATATTAATTAACGTGCGTCTTAGCTCAGGGTTGCCTTTGGAGCTCACGGTGCTGCCGACAGTT